TTTTTTGGCTTAAATTGCAAAGAAATCAAAAAATATGCAAGTTTTAGCTGGCAGCAAACTGGCGAGGAATAGTAAAATCAGCAAATATTAAATACATTTTTACAATTTTATTTTAGGTTATGTTGAAAGAATTTTAAAAACCTAAATTTTTTTGGGTAGATCTTAACATAATTTAATAGAAATCATAGATAAAGGCCTAAATAGTTTAAAAAGTAAAAAAACACTTCAATAATTAAGAAATTTTTTTAGGTTATGGTGAAATTTTTGAGGTTAAGTTTACCCCAACGAGAAAAGAGGAAAAGTCATAGGCAAAAATAAAAGAAATTAGCTGGAAATTTAGATACATGCATGGCAGAATTAAGAAGGTAAAGTCATGCAATCATATTTTTATATTTTTTTTTTTTCAAAATTATTCATTTGACGACTTCTCAATGTCAAAATGTATATTTTTACATAGACAAATCAGAGATGACAGGGTAAATTACAGAAAATTCTAAGATGGGAATGCTTATTTGAAAGGACTTAATTTTAACATTGGTACATGTTTCCCGAAAAAAATCGCTCCAGAAACTAAGGCTACGTTAATAAACTTTTTGGCTTAATTTTGGTTAAATTGCATTTTTTTGGGGTGATTATTTACGAAAAATAGATCGAAATCACATATAACAAAGATATATTTCCGAAAAAAAAAACAAGTAAAAAAGCTGTAAATTCGGCCCTGCCGATCTTTTAATACCCTCCACCATTTGGAACGATTTTGGCAATTTTCAAAAAAAAAAAAATAAAATCTTCACGGAATGTTGTTAAAATCTAAAAAAAAAAAAACGAATGTGGCCGTTATATTTGGGTCTATACGACAACGTGGACCTGCATAGGCAAGTTTTGTCATAAGCCCTTACAATATTCAAATGCAAAACTTGAATAAAAAAATTCGGTGAATAATATAGCTGTCATAGGCTGTAGTATCCGAACTTCAAATACCAAATTTGAAACAATTCCGGTTAATAATGTCGCTAAAATCAATAAAATACCGAATATCGGGAGGTACCGTTATATGGGGGCTATGCGAAGACGTGGACCTGCACAGTCAATTTTCTGTCATAGGCTGTAGCATCCATTACGAATCCCAAATTTGAAACAATTCCGGTGAATAATGTCGCTTAAATCATCAAAATACCGAATATCGGGAGGTACCGTTATATGGGGGCTATACGAAGACGTGGACCTGCACAGACACTTTTCTGTCATTGGCTGTAGTATCCATTACGAACTTCAAATGCCAAATTTGAAACAATTCCGGTGAATAATATCGCTTAAATCACCAAAATACCGGTACCGTTATATGGGGGCTATTCGAAGACGAGAACCTGCACAGACAATTTTCTGTCATGGGCTGTAGTATCCGTTACGAACTTCAAATACCAAATTTGAAACAATTCCGATGAATAATGTCGCTTACATCACCAAAATACCGAATATCGGGAGGTACCGTTATAGGGGGCTATACCACCACGTGGATCTACATGACCCATTTTCAATACCAAAAGTCCTGCAGACATAATACACATTTGAGTAAAATTTTATCAACCTACTTCATTTCGTTCGGAAGCTACAGTGATTTCCACAGATGGACCAACAGACGGACATCGCTAAATCGACATAGAATTTTATGCAGATAATTACTTTGTGGGGTCTAAGACTCTAAAACCTAGTCTTAGATTAATACAGATTCAGCGTATCCATATCTAATCCTCTGTAGGTACAATTGAGTAGCAATAATTATACCCCTTGTAGTCAATAACCTTATGATATTTAAACGAACTTGAGATCCCTAATAAGTTGTTTTGATCAATAGTGTTTATATAATTCTCATCATTACCTGGATTCTCAAAATATGTTAAGATTCGGAGAAATTACAATAATTCCTCGCCGAACTATAGATCCCTAAAACATTTACTTAACGTAATTTCTTAAACCTAGTCTTAGATTAATACAGATTCAGCCTATCCATATCTAATCCTCTGTAGCTACAATTGAGTAACAATAATTATACCCCTTGTAGTCAATAACCTTAGGATATTTAAACTAACTTCAGATCCCTAAAATCTCGTTTTGATCAATAGTGTTTATATATACACCGCAAAGTTGCCTGGATTCTTTAAATATGTTAAGATTCGGAGAAATTACAATAATCACTTGCCGAGCTGTAGATCCCTAAAACATTTACTTAACGTAATCCCTTAAACCTAGTCTTAGATTAAGCCTATCCACATCTAATCCCTTTGTAGCTACAGTTGAATACCTAAAATTGTACCCCTATTAGTCAATAAGCTTATGATATTTAAACGAACTTGAGATCCCTACAATCTCGTTTTGATCAATAGTGTTTGTATAATTCGCAAAGTTGCCTGGATTCTCTAAATATCTTAAGATTCGCAGAAATTACAATAATTCCTCACCGAACTATAGATCCCTAAAAAATTTACTTAACGTAATCCCTTAAACCTAGTCGTAGATAAATACCGATTGAGCCTATTCATATCTACTACAGTTGAATAGGAATAATTGTACCCCTATTAGTTAATAACCTTATGATATTTAAACGAATCTAAAATTTTGTTTTGATCAATAGTGTTTGTATATAATTCGCAAAATTGCCCGGATTCTCTAAATATGTTAAGATTCGGAGAAATTACAATAATTCCTTGCCGAGCTGTAGATTCCTAAAAAATTTACTTAACATAATCCCCGCTAAAATTAAAGCATGAACGTGTGGTCCGTAAGATAGGATTTTCCTTGGCATTAATACCCCTTAGTTTGTCTTGGAAACAGGAAAATTCGAGCTATGGATTCGGGGAAATTACAATAATTCCTCGCCGAACTGTAGATCCCTAAAACATTACTTAATGTAATCCCTGTTAAAATGAAAGCACGAACTTCTGATCTGTAAAATAGGATTTTCCTATGCATTAATTAAACGATAGAAGACATCCAGGTCTTCTAAGGGCATTAATACACCTTAGTTTGTCTCAGAAACAGGAAAATTCATTCTCAAGTGGTTGATGGATTTAAAATTTATAACGCACTATGGATCCCTATTCATATATGCAAAGCTTGCCTTGAGGCAAGTAAGGCTGGATATACAAAAAGCACATATGTGGCTGGCTTAAGTCATCGTCTGGCTTCTTCGTAGATAAATAAAGGAGTTTTAGGTTGACTTAGTTCGATTTTGGTCCAGGCTCCTTTGTTCATTTCCGAAGAAGCCAGCCAGATAAGCGCTTTATGTATTCCAACCTTATGTTACCTCTGTTACCCTCTGTCCCAAAGACGCACATTTGTCTGCCGCAAACTTTTCACGTGTAATTAGAGATTAACCCTACATTTAAAGGATGTCTCAATCACTAAAGCTACATATACAAGTGAGTCCTTTACTATGGCCATTGATACATATTATCTGTTTGACATATTTTTTTAAATCTTTACTTATTCTAGAACGGTTTTTTGCAATTAAGGTCATAAATTTATGACGTATTAAATACCCATAAGTACCCATATACGCAGTAGAATCCCATACTCATATCAACTCGATCATGGAATAAATAACAAATTATAGATCCCTATTCATACGTCAGGCCTACTTTAATGGATATCCTTAACTTACCAGGCTTCAAATCGTTAAAAATTATCAATCTCCCACCTCGTCCATCTTATACGATTTTATAATAAAGCAATAAATCTGCTTCAGTGATTAATTTTCCTTTATTTATACATTAACAAATTTAAAAATTAACCTTAATTTCTTAAAGACTCTCTACCCAAAAACTTGCTTGCTCTCACTTCCTTTCTCTAACTCTTATGCTCTCTGTCTTTCCTTCGCCTTTCTGCCGTTAATAGAAATATGGCGCCTTTTAATTGCGTTTCCCCCCGCGTGTGACGTTACCAATTTTAATGAAAAAACAAAGTTTTTAATGGCGTTTCTCTTCTTTTCTGATTCTTATCTTCTTACTAAAGTGCAAAAAAAAAAGCAATACAAATAAAAACAACAATGCTGCTGCCCGCATGATGAAGCAAAGAAAAAACAAATCACAAGAAGAAGCACAACGAAACAAAAAACCCATAAAAACCCGATATGGACAAGAAGAGTGTTTGTATGTATGTACCATTGAACAAACATTTACACTCTTATGTACAGACGTACGTACGTACGTACATAAATAACAAGAGAAACGTTAAAGCAAAAAAAAAAACAGCAACAACACCAACAATGCCAACGTCAATGTACATTTTTATAGCCAAAGCACGAATGAACGAACCGAACGAACGACCGACCGACCAACCAACCGACCGACGACAATACAGAAAACATTTTTGCTGCTGCTATTCACTTTGAAACGGGGCCTGTCATTTTGCTGGCATTCAATGAATGAGACTGCCTCTCTGGTTTTTTTGTTTTGTTTTGCCATCGCGCCATACAAACAACAGAGCTACGACGCCAATCAAATGACAGCGACGTAGGCAGTGGAGAATACTTCGAAAAAAATACACATTTTTTGCTTAATTGTGAATAAACACATACACACATCTATACATACATATATATGTATATATATCAGACGACGAATATTAAAGCCTCCTCCTCGGGTATATCATTCGTATTGTCTGATGTGAAAACGAAGCCCGAAAACCAATAACTAAACGTCGACGCCATCCATTGTGGGTTTCGAAAAGAAACCCAACAACAACAACGTGAAGAATCCAATACAAAAATGAAATGATGTTGGTAGCTGCAGCGCTGCCTTGTCTTGCTTTGATGTGTGTTTGGCATTGTTGTTTTTGTTTTACTTGGGCAACAGCCGTATGCGGTGCTTATGTATCAGTGTATATGTATATACCAACGTTTGTATGTGTACGTACATAATCTCAGGGGGTACATTTATATTTTTGTGTTCTCTGCCTCGGTCGCTGCTTTGCGTCACATAGCACCGTGTTAGTTGTTGTTGCTTTGCGTTTTTGTTGGTCGTCGTCATCATCATCACAACGTCGCTGCCGTCGTTTTGGTTGCATGTTTTGGGCTTGTATGAATTTTCAGCAGAAACAACGATCACACTCGTATACTGACTATTGAACGGTAAATGTGTACGTCGTCGTTGGTACCGTGGTCAAGATAGTCTCTCGCTTGTATTTTTATTTGTTTGGGCTTAAGTAGTGAGCCTGTCCCCCTTCTACTACCTTTCAAATACAACAGCCTGAATGAACGAACATCGTTCGTTTTACTGCTAAAAAATAATTAATGCCAAGCGCGTAAACAGCAACAATAAACAAAAAAATAATACCAACAAAAGTAAAAGCAAATAAAAAGATAAATTTATTATTTATTAAACAAAACAACGCGTCGTGAAATTTATTAAATGTGTTGTGAATGAAAAAAAGAGAAATATTACTATGAAATGAGAAATATTAAAAATAGTTACCAACACAAAGCCAAAAGATTAATAAATTAATTAAAATTCCACAAAATCCACCTTTCATTAACAAAAAAAAAAAGTCCACAAAAGCCATCATCAAAGTCCAAAAATCAAACACAGCCCTGGCTGTGAAAAACGAGGCTTCTACTTGTGTGTAAGCAACGCAGTCACTGTTGTATGGTGGCCTGCTGGCTATAAGATTGTGTGTGCGTGTGTGTATAAATGTGTATTTGCCATACAGCACTCTTATAAGGCAAAGAAGAAGAAGCATCAATATATAACAACAACAGCAACACCAACAAAAACAATAAGAATGCAGTTACTGGTTACTTGAATTGTGTGTTTTTGTTTTATTTGTGTGGTGTGAAGAGCGCAGCACAACTATACACAGTAGTGTAAAAGTGACGTGTGTGTGCGCGAGAGAGTATGCCAAAGAGAGAGAAACAGAGCTACTCATTTATTAAGCAAGCATAACAATCAGAAGAAAAAGAAAAACGAAGAAATTCAATTTAAAAAGAAAATTAAACAAAATCCAAGAAAATTTTGTCAAAAAAACCTAGGCAGTTTATGGATTATGCCTAGCAAAATGTGTTTATATTGAAAAATAAAGGAATTAAATACAAAACAAATCAAAACCAAACATAATCATTAGCGTAGCATCCATCCCCCCAACAAAAATTTTGTGTCAACACTCATTGTCATTATGTCGGCCGACATTGAGATTACCAGTGTTTTGGGTGCCAATGGCCAGCCATTACCCATTCACGGCACCGGTTTGGGTTCAACATGGTCAGCACCGGTCAAACAAGAGCGTGCCGATGAATCTGAAATACAAGAATTGGCGGCCAAAATGAAAGAGGCCCAAAAAGATGCCCTGGCCAAGCAACAACAACAGGCTGCCCAATTGGCCTCGCGACAAGCCATGGTCAATGGCCAGATGCAACCACCTGTCAATGCAAATGGGGGTGGTCAAACAAATATCCTCAACTACTTAAATCGCCAACAAAAACCCGCCAATGGAACAACAGCAACAAATGGTCGTTCGTCCAGCACAGATGACAACAAAAAGGCACCCTGTGATGAAGAGTCGCAAAAGGGCCACTTTGGTTGGACGACCTTTGGGAAAACTTTCATACCCTACATCTATCGGCAAACGGAAAAATACTGTTCCGTGCGGATGATTGAACTGAAACTGCTGGGCAAATATCTAAATTGCCTACATCCGGATATCTATTCCAGTTGCACTTGTGTACGTTCCTATTACATTACCGAGGCTGAGGCTAGACTCTTCATCGAAATCAATCACAAACACTGCGATGGTGAATTTGGTCGCGACATGTTTACGCAAAAGGATTTGGTGGTGCGACTCTCGGATGCCACAAAATTCTATCAATTTTTGGATATTTGCTATCGCAAACTGATATCGGGTAGCAAATCGCCCTCCGAGAAATGTGGTTTTATACGCATCAACAAAGAATCGGTAGTTCCTTATACGGTACGCAACGGCGAACAGGTGGTGCCGTTGTTCTATTTCGAAGGTGAAACGGAAAATTTAAGGCAAAAAGCGGATCTATTATCCGGTTGGGATTTGGCCTATTTGAAATTCTGTTGCAAGGTCCAGGGTATACGCAACGAGTTGTTTTCCAGTGAGAATGTTGCGGTCATTAGTTTGACGGACATTAAAAGTTACTTTCCCAATGGCACAGAATTTGAGGATTATTGGCCAAGTAAGGTGGTGGATTCGAATCTGCTAATTGGAAATAGATCAAATGCCAATAATTCGGTGAATTGGACACGGCAGCCATCACAGCCACCGCCAAAGGTATTGAATCAGCCAACACTGCAACAAAAGCAACAGCAACATTCCACGGCAGCAGCGGCGGCCCATCATCAACAGGTTATGAAGCGGGGAACAGCTGCCAATGCAGCAGCCGCTGCCGCCTATAATAATGCCCAAAATATTTTGCAACAACAGCCGAATGCGGCAGCAGCCGCAGCTGCCCAGCGCATGCATTCGAATGCAGCACTGGCGGCACAGGCCACAGTACAGGTGCTTATTTTTTCTTTTTCCCCCCTTTATGCTACCACTTTTTCTATGCAACACCAAACAACTGGCAGCCAGCTGCTGCATCGGAATAAAAAAAAGAACAGCAGTTGGCTGGCTGATGTTGTTAGCCCCCCCCCCCCCCCTCCCTGCTCATCACAACTGTTTAACTAAATGAACACAATTTTTTCTTTCTTTTTTTTGGTTTCCGTTTTAATGCCGCGTTCACATTGCATTCTCCTCGAATCGTTGTTGTCATCGTCTTCCGACTATCTGTTGTTGTTTTTGAAACCGGTACAAAACAAAATCCATCCAAACAAATAGGCATTAACAAATGGTCCTTGGATGTCACAACAACAAAACAATCTACCTTTAATACATGCTCAAATGTTAGCTTCACAGGTGAGTTTACAACTGCAACAATATCACGTAAAAATATACCTACCTAGTAATGTTTTATATATTTGTATAAGGTATAGGGAGAGAGAGAGGCCCTGCTCCATTTCAATGAGACTATGTTGTCGGGCAGTAGGAACGGATAAGGGAAGTGGTAGGAGGTGCTTTAAAGCGATTTTCGATATTATTTTTTGGGAATGTTTGAGAGAGTCAAGGAGATTGGGTACCCAATGCTGGAGAATGCAGAGGATTTGTTTTAATCTGACCTAGATGTGTATAGTTCAGAAAACAATGATGATATCCAAACACTTTTATAATGAACACCAGCCAACAAGTTGAACTGCGTTTCAGATCCAATTTTAGTAGTTATTGGCCCTCAGGACAAAAAGCTTGCCTTACGGAAATCGCCGAAAAATCATTGTAAATTAAATTCAAGAAAACCGTTCCTATGTAGCTTGCTAAGACAAATGCGTTTCCTCACCACTTTGAAGGGACACCAAGGACATATATAGCTTCCTTTTCCCTATTAACTATAGATGCAAATGAGCAAAAAATCTTGTAAGGCATTTCAAAATAAGTTTGCGAGAAAGTAGATCTTGGAATTTCAGAGGAGGCTGCTAAAACTCACCTATCGGAATTTTGGTTTCCCATTCCTTTGTCTGTATATTATGTATTTTCCAGAAAATCAGCTGATGCCTTTCCGTACCCAATTGGTGGTAATCTTTGATCAGATTATTGTGGGCCTAACAGAGTCTATGAGAGGTTCTTCTAAACTCCGTTTGATTAAAAAACCAAAACCAATGATTCAATGTTTCCAGAATCTAAAGGTCTAAATTTGTTCTAAAAGGGAAAAGGGAAGAAATAACAAAAAGCTGTAAGTTCGGCCGGTTTTGACTACTTTACACCATTTGGAAAGATTTCGCAATTTTCAAAAAAAAAAAAAAAAAAAAACCTTAAAAATTCTGTTAAAATCTTAAAAAAAAACCGAATATAGTCTATAGCGTCTATACGACGACGTGGACCAGCATAGGCAACTTTTGTCATAAGCCATTACAATATTCAAATGCGAAACTTGAAAAAAAATCGGTGAATGGGAGGTACATTTATATGGGGGCTATACGAAGACTTTGACCTGCACAGACAATTTTCTCTCTTAGGCTGTAGCCTACATTGCGAACTTCAAATACCAAATTTGAAACAATTCCGGTGGATAATGTAGCTAAAATCATGAAAATACCGAATATAGGGAGGTACCATTATATGGGGGCTATACGAAGACGTGGACCTGTATACGAAATTTTTTTTCCATAGGTTGTGGTAACCATTAAGATCTTCCAATACAAAATTTGAAACAATTTCGGTGAATAATGTCGCTGAAATCATCAAAATACCGAATATAGGGAGTTAACGTTGTATGGGGGCTATACGAAGACGTGGATCTGCACAGACAATTTTCTGTCATATGTTGTAGTACCCACTACGAACTTTAAATATCAAATATGAAACACTTCCGGTGAATAATGTCGTTGAAATCATCAAAATACTAAATATTGGGAGGCGTTGTTATATGGGGGCTATATCAAAACGAGGACCTGCACAGACAATTTTCTGTCATAGGCTGTAGCCTCCGTTACGAACTTCAAATACCAAATTTGAAAAGACTCCGGTGAATAATGCCGCTAAAATCATCAAAATTCCGAATATAGGGAGGTACCGTTGTATGGGGGCTATACGAAAACGTGGACCTGCAGAGACAATTTTCTGTCATAAGCTGTAGTATCCATTACGAACTTCAAATACCAAATATGAAACAATTCCGGTGAATAATGTCGCTAAAATCATCAAAATACCGAATATGGGGAGATACCCTTATATGGGGGCTATACAATGACGTGGACCTGCACAGACAATTTTCTGCCTTAGGCTGTAGTATCTATTACGAACTTCAAATAACAAATTTGAAAGAATTCCGATGAATAATGTCGTTAAAATCATGAAAATGCCGAATATCGGGAGGTACCGCTATATGGGGGCTATACGAAGACGTGGACCTGAACAGACAATTTTCTGTCTTAGGCTGTAGTCTACATTACGAACTTCAAATACCAAATTTGAAACAATTCCGGTGAATAATGTCGCTTAAACCACCAAAATACCGGTGCCGTTATATGGGGGCTATACGAAGACGTGGACCTGCACAGACAATTTTCTGCCATAGGCTGTAGTATCCGTTAGGAACATCAAATATCAAATATGAAAATTTTCCGGTGAATAATGTCGTTGAAATCATCAAAATACTAAATATTGGGAGGTCTTGTTATATGGGGGCTATACGAAGACGTGGACCTGCACAGACAATTTTCTGTCTTAGGCTGTGGTATCCATTACGAACTTCAAATACCAAATTTGAAACAATTCCGGTGAACAATGTCGCTAAAATCGTCAAAATACCGAATACTGGGAGGTACCGTTATATGGGGGCTATATGAAGACGTGGACCTGCACAAACAATTTTCTGTCATAGGTTGTAGTATCCATTACGAACTTCAGATACCAAATTTGAAACAATTTCGGTGAATAATGTCGCTGAAATCATCAAAATACTGAATATCGGGAGTTACCGTTGTAGGGGGGCTATACGAAGACGTGGACCTACATGTCCCATTTTCAATACCAAAAGACTTGCAGACATAATACACATTTGAGTATAATTTTATCAACCTACTTCATTTCATTCGGAAGCTAGAGTGATTTCCACCGATGGATAAACGGACGGACATCACTAAATCGACATAGAATTTTATGCTGCTCAAGAATATATGTTCTTTGTGGGGTCTAAAATGTATATTTCGAGGTATTACAAACGGAATGACAAACCTAAATACCCCCTCCATACTATGGTGGAGGGCATTAAAATTAAATTCGCAGCTTTGCAAGGCAAATACGAAAATTACTGCATAGTATTAGGGGCACTCTTTAACCAATCAATTTACGAGATTTGTTCGAATTGGTCACCTCTGGCACGAATTATGACCTTCAAACGGCCAATGAAACCGTAACACGCTGTTCGAATGTTGTTCTGCGGTATTTTTGCCCATTGAGGTGATCGACACTTTGGTATTTTTTAGTGCGCCAACCTTGCCTTCCAGAATACTCCAGACACAATAGTCCAACACATTGGTATCCAGAGATTTTGGTGGAAATGAAGCGAGTAGCCTTATTTTGTAACCATTCTTGGGTGGCGAGTGCTGAGTGCGATGGTGCTGAGTCCTGTTGGAATGTCCAAGGTCTGCGGCCAATATGTTTGCGTGCCCAAAGCTTTAATACATCCTCCAGAATAGTTTCGCGATAATATTTGGCATTTATTCTGATGCCATGGTTGATAAATACGAGCGGAGAGCGACTATTGGCTGTTATGGCGGCCCAAACCTTCACCATGGCCGGCACTTGAGTTCTGGTGGCCGGCCAATCGAAGCTGCACATTTTCAGTTGACCTCTTTGGCAATTAAATCCGATCATTTTGTTTGTTTACAAACTTTTGGACAACGAATGTTTTCTCTGATCGGAGAAAACCAATTTCGCCAGTTCACCCCTTTTCGGCCAAGCGAAGCAACTCTTTAGCTCTTTTGAGCCTAGTTTTCTTTCTGTTGCGGTATTAGTTCTTGCACTTTTTGGAATGGAATTTCAATGGCTTTACCCCGAGAATATTTTACCCAACGAATATTTTTCATCGGAGAAACCCAAATTCGGCAGTTCACCCCTTTTCGGCCAAGCGTAGCAACTCTTTAGCTCTTTTGAGCCTAGTTTTCTTTCTGTTGCGGTGTAAGTTCTTGCACTTTTTGGAATGGAATTACAATGGCTTTACCTCGAGCTCATTTTTCAATATTTGCCGAATGGAATATTTCAAAATTCCCAGTATTTTAAAAATTTCTTTCACTGTGCATTACTTTTTTATTAGAATCCGAAATATAATTACCACGTTTTAGAAAATAAAACAAGTTATGATAACCCCCTTACCTATCTCCTCCCCTATTTGTACTTTTTTTTCCACCCAATGAGTCTTGTGGTGTGTATGAAAGTGTATATGTGTGTGTATGTGTATGTCTGCTATGTTGACGAGACATATCGTCTAAAATGAATTCCAAAAAACAAACAGAAAAGAAGAAGTTGGCCTACTTCTGAATTGTGTATCTTAACTAACTACCTTTCTCTCTTGCCCATACACATATTGCTGGTTCTGCAACAAGCTACTGATGTTTTGTTGTTGTTGTTGTTGTTGTCAGAACAGAAATGGCAACAATTGTTTTTTTTTTCTAATACCTTCCTTAACGAAGAATATTGCAACAAAGGCAGAAAAAAGCACACACAAGCTAAGTGGCAATACCAGTTTAGGCTACAGAGATCTTCATGCACGTCGTCTTCTTCTACCTCTTCTTCTCAATTTAAGCATAAGATAATGGAAAATCATATTCTTTACTGTATCTCTAATGTGTAATTTGGAACAAATGTGTCCCAGTATTTGTATTGAAACTAATTCATGTTTAAATCTAAGTAAATTTTCTGTATTTATTTATGTTTGTAGTAGAGTTTTGTTTAGATATTTGTATGTTTTGTCTACAAAAAAAAATCAAGAATATTGTGAAAAATTGGTTAAAAACAATAATATTTCCTCCCCCTTTCCCCCCACATCTTCTAGATGTATTTACATCAAGCCTATGCCAATTCAAGACACCAACAGAGCAACAACAACAATCTTGTTATGAATCCTCTCAATGGTTATAGTAACAGACAACGTAATGCTGCACAAGGCTCAAAATCAGCGACAGCAACAGCTGCTGCCATGGCAGCGGCAGCAGCTGCCGCCGCAGCTGCGGCCAGTAAACGTTCTCGACAAAAACGTTAGACAAACAACGTTTGCACACCAGACAGACACACACACCCTAGGAAATCAAAAAAGGACAATTTTGTTGTTTTTCTTTTTTTTTGGTCTTTATGGAAGGAAAAGA